TATTCATACGTCACAATCATTGGCGGCCAACGCGCCACAAATACTTGTATTTGTAAATTCGTTATTTTCGCGAAGCAAAAAAAAAAAAGGCAAAAGTCCCCAAAGTGTTGCTTATTAAAACTCGAGGAATCAAACAATTATACCAACGGTAATTTGAGCCAGAGAAAACCAAAAAACAATAAATGTGGATTTTAGAAGGCAGCGCTTTGAAGCCGTCAATTGGTTGGTTGCAAATTGCAGGATCAGCGACGGATTGACGCGAACACGCGTTTTTTTTGCTGCTGCGTTTCATACAGAAGCTACTGCTATTGTTGTTGTTGGAGTGGCAACAACAGTGTTCTAATCGTGCAGCTGTGTTGTTGCTGTTGTTGTCATTGTTATTGCCAGTTGCTGCTGCTGTTGCATATTGGTGGCGCTGTCAAACCTTCGGCAACCACACGCCAGCCCGTCTGCAACAGCAACTGCAGCAACAACAAACAACTCTGTTTTTTTTTTTTCTGCTGCTGCGACGTTGGCAATGCGGCAGCTGTAGCATGCCACAGCATCAACACTCTGCTGCCTGTGCTGTTATTTGTCATTCACAAGTTGACGGTGTTGGTCGCTCATACGCTCGCTCTAGCGTTCGCTCAGTCAGCGGTCAACGGTTGTGCGTAACAAAACAACAATAAATGCCTACCAAATGGCTTTTGTAAATCGGCAGGCGACGGTATAGCGCGTAGCATTATGCCGCAAACAACGGCGACAGTGCGTGCCGCCTGCATGCAGCAGCTAAAGCCAAGCGCCAGCCAGCTGAAAAGTTACATGCAAATCGCTTCAAAACGCGTCACGATCAATCTACGTATTAGCGCAATAAATAATTTGGTGAATGACAATGACAACAACAACAACAACACGAGCAGTAGCAGTAGTAATATCGGCATTGAAAGCTGAGCTAGCAAAAGCAGCAGCAAAATAGTGCCAACAACTGCCTAAGGCGCAAGTTAGTGCATGCGGACTTTTAGAGAAGTTTTTAAACTCAATTTTTTTCTGAATTAGAAAAAGTTAAATAGCAAAAATGTTCCACTTTTCGCCGAGACAAACAACAGTTGGCAAGAAAATTTCATGCAAGTGATTTATTGAATTTTTTTAATGGTGAATTTCATTAGAAATTACTACCTACTTACCTACTACTTAAGTATTCTTAAAAGTGTTTTAAAGTGCAAGCGAATTGGACATTTATTCAAATAGTTGGTGCTAAAATTCGAAATTGAAACCAAACTGCACAACAACAATAAAACCAACAACAAACACGCTCAATTTTCTGCGCCTTTCTAAATTCGCCAGCAGTGCATTTCATTAAAAGCAGCAAAATCTCTAAGCAAACAAAAGAAGTTAACGCGCCGCCACTCGAGAGTGAAGGACCAAAAACAACAGCAACACAAAAAACAACTAAACTTTAGCGCCACTTTTTGCCAACTACCTATCTGACTACGAGGAGGCATTTAAAAAAAAAAAATACTAGATTTTAAAATTGGCCCGAACGGCCGCTTAACCATTTACTTTGAAGCTATTTATATCGCAAATATTACAAAAACACTAAGAAAGTGGAAAACTCAAGACTTCTTCTACTCAAATTCACAACAACAACTGACTACTATTAAGCAAATTATTACTTTAGCTTGGAGAAACATTAAAACATTTACAAGCTTCAACCNAAGTACTAACACTAATGCTTTCGCCTATTTAAAATAACAACAAAAAAAAGCAAAAACTTACCAATAATACTATTTACCACTTAAAAAGCAACTAAAAAGTACCTTTTTACTACAACAAAAAAACTAAAAGCAAAACAAAGCTAGTAGAACAAATGCCCAGCGGTGAAAATTACCCCGGCAAACAATTTGGCAAAAAGGAAGTGAGCGGCCTTGCACACCCACTTCGGTGATACTAAAACAAACAAAAAAAAATCAAAAACATTTAATTGCTAGCAAAAGTAAAAACAAAAACTAAGCACGTCAGCTAAACTAAATTTTTACTACTCTTTTTCACTCCGCTTTATCAACTACATACATACTAAATTAGCAGTATACTAGAGCAAAAAGTAGCCTAGAAAAAAGCGCAATTTTACACTTTTCGCATTAAAATACAATATCTACAATTAAAAATCTTGCCAATCTACATTATGAAAAATTAGAGTGTGTAACAGTAAAGCATAAACATTAACTACTAAGCTAAGTCATAGACTTTTTTGTCAAATTCAAATTCAAAAAACATAAAAAAAATGAAAAATATGAAAAGTTAAAAATCGAAAAGCAGAACAAAGTGCATAAAAAGCAATTCAAGTGTCTTACTTAGCAATTCAACTAAAAAAGGAATAGATAGAAAGAAGCAACATCGAAGTAATTAAAAGTTTCATATTAAAAAAATTTTAACTTTTTCATGCATGAAATTTAAAAGCAAAAAATAGCAACAACAATAGCAATACACGCTCAGTAAAATCAACTAAAAGCTTGCCAGTTTTTTTAAATTAATAGATATGCAATATCAATAAAAAAAATGAAAACAAAATAAAACTGGAAATTTTTACTAAAATGCTTCTGGATTAGCATTAAAACTTAATAAAAAAAAACATATACACACACACCTATATAAAGTATAATAATAGCGCAGTGAACAGCGAGTACATTTTGTGATATTTTTAATAATCCAGTTGAGAAAGAGAAACAACATTAAAAAAAAATAGTAATAGAATGTGAAACGCGCACAAAATCGAATTAAGAATTCGGTAAACAGGACACTTTTAAAAGAAAACAGTGTGTGGTAAATATTGCAAAAAAATTTACTTGGAATTGAAAAAAATTTTAGTTGCAAATGAAACTGCATTACTGTGCACAAAGTCTCATAAAAAAAAAATAAATAAATTAATAAACAAAATCATCAGCTAAGAAGTTTTACGCCCCAAAAACGCGTTCCTGCACTCCACCAAAAAGCAGCGCTTTAACGGTGTTGCCGGTTTCGGATTAAAGTCACAAAGTGCCAGCGCCAGTGTGAAAAAAAAGGTAGGCCGTTCAAATTATTTGATATGAAAATAAGTTTTTACATTTGCTTCACAATCTTGAAAGCCTTCACTTACCAGCTTTTGTTTGATTTCTGAGCAGATGGCATGCATGTGCACGCATTTGCCGACGGTAAAACGCTCTTACAGCAGCATACCACACTAAGCTATTCAGGCTTTCAGCACTCTACTCAGCTATAAGTTTTCTATTATTCTTAAATGAGTGCGAAAGCATTAACCCCTTGAAAGCTTGACAGTGTTGCCATCTTCTGATTTTCGAAAAGCATCAAAAACTTGGAAAAAAGCGTTTTACCTCACTAAAAGCACCAAATTTTTTTTAATCAAGGGATGCTTTTTTCATAAC